ATTACACAATATGAATTGAACAAGGTTCAATATAGTGTCAGAAATTTGTTAATTTCTGTGAATTTTAAAAGAAGTTTCATAAGCCAGTTTTGGTAGGCATTAAGGGTTGCAAAGGCTTTAACATTTCAGGGACTTGTCTTTAAGAAGATGGATCTGCTTGTAAAATCATTGTCTCCAGCAAAAACCGTTATTCTAAGGATTTTTATCACTGTAATACCCGTGTCACACGAGCGTTTTGAAGGCCATCGAATCAGTGGTCTGTTGGCTCAACTGTCAAGCACGAGCTGCCACACAAACAGTTTCGGAGGTCATTGAGTCATTAGTCTATAGAGTCATTGGATGGAGTACCCCAACACTCCGTTGAAACTTCAATGGTCACTGAATGACGGAAGTGGAAACAGCGCGAATGCGCCGTCTTGTTCATTGTGTGCTTCTACACACGATTAGAAAAAAAGGAATCTAACCAGTATGCTTTAAAAGCAGTATATGTGAGTGTTGTGAATTATTTAATTGAGTATTTTCGCCACTTGAAATGTGTGAACTGCATGCACTTTTGACAATAGCCACGAGCTTGTACTCAGCATGCTGTCTCTCTATGTATTCTTTGCCTCAGTTTCGCCGCTCAAGAACTTAGAAGCTAAATATACATTCATAACTATGAATAGTGACTTTATTGAAATATTTAAACAACATCAACAGACATACTTGAGTTTTTAAGTGAACTTGCATTGTTTACTTTAGGTGACATGAATACGAAAATAAGGATCTGTAGCGCCTCACAATTTTTCCAAGAAGCGTCTGAACTACTCAACGGCTGTTCTAAACTTCCATGTAGCGGTGCGAAAACTTCCACGAGTCGATAGAGTTGTGCGTTTCGACGGCCATCGACTGGATGGCCTTTCAAAGGGCCAGTGTGACACAGGTATCCAGTTGAACCCCTTTTTAGGAGGCATGCTCTGGCATCAAATTCTTGGCTTTTATATGAGATGTCTCTTATAAGCAGTGTACCATGTACGCATTTTCCTGTAAATGTGCACTTACTGTAGGCATATTGGTGTCTCATATCTATATGTCTCTTATATCAGTGTCTCTTATAAAGGGCTTCGACAGTAATTCAGTTTTATCTCAGAACACCTACATGATGTTATAGGGCCATGTAGAAGTGCCCCTAATAAATGCATGCAGCTTCCAGTGCTGGGAAACCTGTGCCAATGGGGCCAACTTGCGTCAACTGTAAATTACTGAACCAACTGTAAATTACTGTGCCATACTGCTGTGCCACAAAATAGTTTTGGAACCGAAAGTGATGTTGACAGCACGCATTGTAAGCTGATATGACGTGGTGGTCGCCATTGTGTACTTGCACTGCAGCTAAAGCAGGGGATCGGCCTATGAAATATTTCGACTTCCGTGCTATTGCGGCGGTGCCTTTTTCGGTAATCATTGGCAAAGAACAAAAGCGATGTGGCAACCAGCGAAAAGCACGTCAGTATCACTTATCACCGACAAAAAGCCTACATGTGGCGTTGCCCCGCTTTGAGCTTACTGCACGCTTTTAATAGCTGGCGAATACCTCAGAGCGTTGAGGCACCGATTGCTGCTGCATCAATCGCTGTGTGGGACCGTGTTCAGTGTGCACCGCTTTGCAGAAACGAAAGCCGCTCATTGTGGAGGTGAGAATTTTAAATCGCAGGGACCTAGACAGCAAGTGTAGAACACATGTTCATGAAACAAGAGCCCAAACACGCCTCCGTTCACTGCTAAGGCTGCTTGAGCTTCTCTTGCAAAAAGCTCGCATCGTCACGTTAACGCAACAGGCTTCTCGTCGCATATGTCCACAGTCTGGAGCAGAGTGGGCGCAAGTGGCTTGGCACATTGTGTACGTCAAGTAGGGGAAGCACTGCAAGCAACTAGCCAGTGGACGATCAGCTCCCTGTCACCGTATCGCATCTTTAAAAAGTCAGTTTTCGCTAAGTAGCAGATCACGGTACACATTTATCGCGGACAACTGATTATGTTCATTTCTTCGCTATGTCAGTCTCTGCTTAGGCTGTGTATCCCGGACTCTGGACTAGTATCGAAATGCTCTTTGGTGTTGTCACCGCGTTCCATCGGACGGTCATGCGAGAATGCCAATAATTTCTGAGTACTGGCAAAAAGAAAGTAATGGCTTCGTGGTGGGTACTTTAGGCAATATTCGCTGTGGCACTGTAATCATTTCTGCTTTAGCGATGAAGGGGAGTTAGAGGAATGCGAATTGGTACTTGGTTATAGGTGTGCCCACATGAGGGGGTGGGGCGCTCAAAGCCAGCCCCATACAATGATATTATAGGAAAGGGGGCTGAGGGGGGTACAGAGCCATGCCCCATGCATTGACTCTATAGGGAAGGGGGATGCAAAGGAAGCCCCCACACAGTGACATGATAGGAAGGGGGGCACTACAATGAACCTCTGCGGCCCCCCCTTCCCAATGGGGAACCCTGCACACGCTTATGTACTTTGTGGTCAATGCATTCTACGTTTAGTGTGTAGTTAGCCGCATTCCCAGCAGTTTCTTTCTATGTATGTACGTAATAAGAAAGCTTTACTATAACGAGCTTCGAATTTGTGTCTGTGGGCATGTATTTGTGTGTGCTCTGCTATGAACTTCTTGATGCAGTTAGCTTGTTGGTGCAATATCCTTCACTATGTTATGTCACCGCTTCTGTACATAATCCTACATTTGTTGATTTTTTGGGCTTGCTGCTTCTGTATAAATTTATATGTAAACTGGGGGAACAATCGACTAAATAAGGCTAAATTTTCTTCCTCCATGTGCATCATGAAAAACCTGTGCCTGCTTCAAACACTGAGTTAGCTGTTCCAAAAGCAAACCTAGCATTCTCTAATTGCTGCTCCAAAATGCTGGAAGGCATTCCCACCACTGAGCTTCAAAAAAAAAAAAAATCTATTGGTTGCTGAAATCCTAAGCTTATTGAAGAAGAAGTTTGGTTGCCAAAAAGGCTGTAAAAGAGTGAATTGTTTTATCGGAGGGGACTGTTGTTTTCAGCAACTCAATGATAGTTTTTCAGCCTGGTGTGGTGGTCTAGTAATTGTGGCACTCTACTGCTAACTCGAAGGTGGCGGCATCAAATCCCTGTTTCGGTGGCTGCATTTTCAATGGAGGCGAAAATGCTTGAGGCTCATGTACTTAGATTTAGGTATATTTTAAAAATACCCAGGTGGTCCAAATTTCCGGAGCCCTCCACTACGTCGTATCTCATAAACATATCGTGGTTTTGGGACATTGATTGATATGTGACGTTTTAATGTCCCAAAACCACCTTATGATTATGAGAGATGCTGCTGTGGAGGGCTCCGGAAATTTCGACCACCTGGGGTTCTTCAACCTGCACCCAAATCTGAGCACATGAGCCTACAAGATTTTCGTCTATCGAAAATGCAGCCGCCACAACCGGGATTTGATCCCGTGACCTGCGGGTCAGCGGCCGAGTACCTTAGCCACTAGACCAACACGGCGGGGCGGTTTTGGGACATTAAACCCCAGATATTATTATTATTATTTTATTATTATTATTATCATCATCATCATCATGATTATTATGAAAAGTAATGAAAAGTAAACTTCAACCATGTATGCTTGCTTGTTATCCCTTTGTCGCTGTGCGAGACCACTTCAATTCATTCAATAATAGGTAGATTAACGTACAGAGAGAAAGCATAAATAGTTAACAGAATGATCTGATTATTGAGTGTCTCCATTCCGAAGGAAGGGAGGTATATTCTAAATAATGAATGGAAGTGTGGGCGAAATGTGAGAGACTACATAATGATTTAAAATTTATGATAGTAGCTTAGTTTGTATTTTTTTCGATACTATAGCTCTGCCTGGGATTTTCAGAGTACATACCTAATTGTTTCTCAAGCTTCCACAAGCGGTGCTCAGAGTGTTCGAATAATTTCTTGGCTAGAAAACATCTTATGAATCTTCCACGTAGAAACAGCCTCGTTGTGTTTATTGTTATGCCTCAAGAAGTGGCATTGTGAGTGCATGAATAATTTCTTAGCTGGAACACTTTTTGTAGCCAGGACAAACACATATGGTACCTTCTATAAACAAACAAGCATTAATAGCCGCACCTACCTGTCAGAATCATCCTGTCTTGATGCACCGAAGAAGTCACCTGGGTAGAGTTGCAATATGAATGGCTTTTCCAAATCTTTATTTCCGCAAACTGTACAAGATTGGAGCCTGTTAGAAAAAACTACCAAAAGCAGTAGCACTGCATTTCAATATGGCAGGCCACAATTTCAACATACTGAAACATGAAATACCACAGTCAATCCTTCTCTCTCATGGGGACTGAAAATAACGAGTTGTTTGTCATTCACAAGTTACTACAGTGCTGCCAATAAGCATAAATGTGTAAAAAGGAGCTCTGAAATATATGCACCAGTTTTTTTGTTTATAAATACCGTGCTTACTATGGAATAGTTGTCATTGTTAGCCTCTCTCATAGGTAATTCTTGGAAATGAGAAAAACTACTGTTCATTACAAATCTGTGGGGCACACAGCTCAGTATTGTGGTCGCTATGTCAAACGGACCCAACACCAGTCTTTACTCTTGTCCCCCTTAGTTGCTCCATTGCAGCACAACTCTGAGCTTCCCTTTGACATGCCTACCTTTCTATTTTGAATGGCACCCATCGTTTCTCCTGTCTTTCTTTCTCTTCCTTTATTTTTGCTGCCAACAAATTTAGTTGTCTCCTCTATGATAGAGGTTGGGCAACATTTAGCAGTACCTACATAAAAATGCTGTTTGAAAAGCCAGCGCTGCCTTGACAAAAACAAGTGATTTTATTAAAGCACCGTCTTCTGCGGCATTTCTTTTTTAGTGATTACTTATGACTGTTAGCTACCATCTTCCTCTGAATTGCTTTTTTGTTATGACAATGCATCACTCATTTTAATATAATTTTTGCCCCTAAACGTGTATAGGATTTCATCAAACGTGCCATGCACCCAAAATAAGTGACCAGGTTCTGCTGCCAAATATACCATGGCACTGCCGAAACTGCGTTCCTGTGGGCTCTGTGCGGGTAAGAGCTCAGTTTCTGTCTCCATTCTTATATTTATGTTTGTTGATCTTGTTGTCAACTTCCCAGAGATGAAAATTATGCTGGTGTAAGCCACCTGTTTCTTGGGGGCAGGTAAGGAGGGTCGGGGGGATAAGAATTTTCAGATATGCTAAAGTTTACTCTGGGCGTAATATTTGGCAGATATTTTCAGTGCCCTGACATACAATATATCAACTTTCCTTTTGTGTTTGTGTTACAGAAAAGTGCAAAGAACTACAAAAATGGTAAGTCACCACGTTTACTCCTTCAAAATTTTAATGTTTACTCCAGTACTAATACCAAATTTGAGTCTTTTTTTTTTTCCTACTACTCCAGTACTAACACAATATTTGAGTCTTTTTTTCCCACTGCCGTGAGCTTTCAATGCCTATGTGCAGGCATTAACATACTCTCAGAAGGTTATAACAGTTAACTTTCCCTTTTGGTCTCCCATCACAGGACGTTGCTATGTTTCCCAATATTATGGACCTTAAATCTTTCATGATGAGAAAGCTCGACTAAAATATGTGGTGAACTAATATAGTAAACTTCACATTTCATTACCACGGCAGGGGCATACCAAATTCCAACTGCATTGATTTATCACATTTGTTTAGCTGATTATAAATTAGTGTATATAACTACCAAAGGAGCTTTGGCAGGGTTGAAGGGCTGTCTTCCTGACTTGCCCGCTCTTTTTTTTTTTTTTTTCAACTGCCTTCGAACAGCATGCTGCCATATTATCTGGGGGTACGGTAGCAGGATTGTGACAGTATAGTAGCAGAATTTTATCTGCTTTGTTATCTCCTGGAAATAACAAAGGGAAAAAAAAACTAATCTGTTATTTTGATTTGTTGAGTTTTGTTATAACAAGGTTTCAATGTGCTGCCATGCGGGAAACGTTTCTGGTTTTGAGGATGATATAGTGTATCCACAACAAATTTGTTTTTCACGGTGGATGGCGCTGTACATGACTACACATCGTATATTGCTGTGGCACCATTTTGTCCATGGCACACATGGACAGGCGGTGCCAATCTATTTCTTCCATCCAGACTCTGACAGTCAAACATTGTTGGTCTAGGCTAGAATGCTTTTTTGTCTTGACATCAAGCACTGCCCTTTTACTAACAAGACTTTTTTCTAGGTAAAATGCATCCATCGCCATTCACTTTGAAAAACAGCAGCCATCACATCCAGCTGCGAGTTTCACGTACGCAAAATTTATCATATTTACTCGCACAACGTGTGCACTTGCATAACAAATGCACCCTCGGCTTTACCATTCGAAAGCTGGACTTTCTCCATTCTTGTAGTGATAGCACTTCCAGCTGTGTGCTTGTGCAGTTCTACAAATGAATGGCCATGCTGTAGTTTTCCAATTCTGTCACTGAGATTAATAGTTGTAGCACATTCCTCAAGTAACCACTTCTTATAAAAAAAAGCACATTTTTTGTTAATGTGCCAGGGCTACAGCCAAATAATATAACACATAGAAAGTTGCATAGCTGTTAGTAAACCAGTGAGCTGTACATCATTGCTGTCAAGATGAAGCTTTCTTTGCTTACTGCATCATTACCATAATGTTAGTCATAATAGCTGTTCTAACTACTTGTATCACCGAAATCTACCATGCATTTATATGATTTGTTGTTTTTTCTTGCCACTCTATCAAACCATTGCTTACTCATGCATTTGTATGTTGATAGGACTTATTTCATGATCACGCTGGTGGGACTGATAGGGCTTAATAATGGTTATACAGCTTTGTGGTCAAAGGCGATGAAATGTCTATGTGGTGAAGTGTGGTAGTCATACTATAGAGGGTGTCTACCAACCTGGAAACCCTGGAAAAGTCAGGGAATTTCTGAAAAACCTGGTCAGGTCATGGAAACTGACAGCAGTTCTGTGCGACCGTCACAAAACTAAGCATTACAATTGATCAAAGCTTAAAAAGTCTCTCTCAGTTGCAACTACAGTGAGCTGCTAGTGGATAACTCTTTCTTCTGAATGTAAACGCGAAAGGATACATTCACCCATGGAACACAAAGTTTACTGACGTTCCAGTACCTGATGCGTGACGTAAGCAGCGAAAGTACATTGTCAGAAGCGTCTTATCACTCCTGCTCAGCGTATGTACAGTTGTCTATATCTGGATTCGAGGTGCAGGCATGATGCAAGCTTCTTTTAGCCGAGAATTTTATAGTCGAACCTACTCGCAAAATCCGGTGTTGGCGGTGTTGTCTATCCGGTGTTGCGCATGCTCGCGTCTCGTGCCAACTGTCGTTCTCCCCACTCTCCCGCCTCGCAAGGCTGATGCAGGCAGCGTCTGCTATTAAAAACTGACTGCTCGTGCAGCACAATCGTTCACTGACCACTCCATATATCTAAGCACTGGATTGGACGTTCGGATTTCAGTCAAGGCCGTCTTTATTTGGCTTTCGCTTGACTTGATGCTTTGGTTGACTCGAGTAGATGCGATGGAAGCAACAGTGCCTTCATCCAGTAGTGGGGCACAGCTCAACAGTGTGCCAGCACTTGTTGAAGGCAACGCTGCGCCCCTTTCATTCAATAAATATTAATAATAAAGACGAAGTGGCAATTAAGCATTCCCAAACATTCACGTGATATCCCCATCATTTCGTGACTCGTGTGGCCCTCGTGGGAAGATGCAGGTTTTTTTTTTGTCCAGAACGCACGAGTTTAAAAGTCTTTTTGGCGGTCTGTAGATTCCGCATGTTCAGCGTGGGCAGTTGAGGCCACGCGTTGTTTCGTGGCATCATATATGTGTTGTTTAACTCTTTTCTTGAAATCACGAGTTTCACCGAGTTACTGGTTATCACAATTGTGGCAGCCTATGGCGTAAACAAGACTGACCCCCGTATTCACAAGCGCTCCTCGACTCAACTTTCACCCTTCACTTGACAGAGTTGAACACTACGCCGCTGCTCGGCTGAAAATGACGCTGCGCTACTCAAGAATCGCAGAACATTATCGCAGATAGGCAGTAATTTGGTGTGCCTATAGACGATGCTCCCATCGGCTTTCTCAAGTGAAAGTGAAACGATGAGCGAAGGGTCGTTCTATGATATGGGGGTAAGGAAATTTCTGCTCTGCAAATTGTCCTTCACATTGGCTAAAGCATTCCTTGGCTTTCATGTTGCTACATCCACTATTTTGATGTTTGTTGCTTCTACATATCACACAGCATATCTGACTTTTGAACCACACCTTTACTCACGTCTATAAATTTATGCATGTTTGTCTTCGCCACGATTTTTTCTCGGCTTGAAGGCCACTTGGTTTGTCTAGGCTAGAACCATCATAAGCAGAAGCATGCTGGGCTACTCGTGTCTTTTATTATTAGTAGTAATAAAATTATTATTATTGTTAATAATATTGGTAGTACCACACTAAACGTCCTCAGCTGCATATTGCTGGTAGCTCGTGTTTCAAGGGTAGCAGTTAGGTAACTTTAGCTAAATTTTTTATCTCAGTTTCGTGAGATTGTGTAAATAAATCTGCAATTATTACTGTCAGTGTCACGTCCGCAGCAGAGTACTTAAATCAAGGTAATGTGCCAGCATTCGTGATTCTTCTGTGGAATCGAGGAAGCTGTTGCACCTTGACAGATTCAGTCCTGCAACCACATATTCAAACGTCGGCACTATAAACGCTGTCCCCAGCTTTTCTTGCACTTCAAGTATCAAAGACCAGAGACACAAAATACAAACATGCATCTGCTCATCGTAAAAATAAAAAAAGAAAGAAAATTTTACAGTACGGCTCTGTTTTTGAATCGTCGTTACTCGTTGTTAAGGCAAAGTACACAGCATACCCGAGTAGTAGTTATTATTTTTTTTGCTGAAAAGTATACTTTGGAGGTGCGCAAATTAGGCGGCAACACAAATCAGTAGTAAATACAGCAATCTAGGTCGAATCAGATCTGATCCAATCCACATCCTAAATAGTTGAGTCAGTAAATACTGCTGTTCACGTCGATCTAATTCAATTCAATCCACATCTTAAGAGGCGTGGGCTACAGCCATTATAGTAAAATAGATTATACTCTAGTGACAGAACCGATCAGGTTCACGTGCCCTCATTATACACGGATGCTGCGAGATGGCACCACTTCTGCGTTTTCTAGCAGCTTTGACTGCAATGTCGGACTATGCAAGCTTCTTCAAACTTTCATCTGCGGTTACTTTTAACTTGTGTGTTTGCTTCCTGGTTCTTCCAATATTAAACAGCTGACTTGCCACTGCCTGGCTCAGGGGTTTTATTTTGGTCAGATATACATGTTTTTTACACATTTACCACAAGCACTCAGAACATTCTCATTGCGTCTGGTATTATGTTTACTTATATGAAGCGCCTGTTTTTTTTTTTTTTAACCACACGAATGTTTGTTTTTCGTGCAGTTTTCTATGGAAACGTAGCAGTCATAGAATTCGCTTTTAATCGTCATATAAAACATGGAAAGGTCGTGGAATTTAGAAATATCAAATTGGTAGATACCCTGCTAGAGGAAGGCTTTCTGGAATTGACCAAGACTCTTGCACTACTGGTGGAAACAGCATGACATACTGCTCGCTGAGAATCTGATGTGTCTCATATTGTATAAGCTATAGACTGTAAAGATATCATTGTTTACTAACAAATGATGGCATATTTTCTGTGAATGTTAATTTCCTAATGGGTTTTCAGAGTTATTTCTGCCTTATCAATTTTCGATCTTGTGTCAAATAGTAAAATTCTCTAGTTGAATTCCGTACGAATGTTGTGACAAAATTTCCTCCATATATATGTGATAAATACTTTATTCATTATATGTAAGAAAAATGAGCTGTGTTAGTCCACTCAATGAAAATTAAAAAGTAATATTTAGGTTATTTGATATGTGCTTGATATGAACAGGTAAGGCTGTTAGTAACTGGACATGTACTTAGTTGAGATTTTTTGTAAATGGAAACAGCTGCTTTCAGTTTACCAGTGCATTTGGTTATTAGAGTAATGAAGTAAGGTAGTAGCATGTTGCCAAGTTTTTTTTAGCAAAATGGTTAGACAGACCAAATAACAAACTGTTTGCACAAATTGGGAAAACAAATGTACATATGTGGTGCTAAAAGCGAGGCATTGTAAGTGAATAGTATACAGTTTTCGAACATTTGTTGTAGTACATGCCATGCATTGAATCAGTAACTGGTGCATCGCATTTCAAAGTAAACTGGTGTGCCCAAATAAAGACGGAGACATAGGAAGACCAAACAGGGACAGGCCCAAAATTTCAACTGACTTTCCATTTTTTGTCACCCTTCAAATATATTGTATATATATATATATATATATATATATATATATATATATATAGGTCGAGTAGATCCTCCGTGAGCGGTCACAACGTGGTTTATTTCGACGTTTTCGGCCTAGAGTCTGATATATATATAGATATATAATAGAGTATATATATATATATATATAATATATATATATATATATATATATATATATATATAACTCTCTTGTGCTTTCACTCAAACTGGATGCATGTAATAAGAAATAAAGTAATTACACGCAAAATTGTATGAGCAAGATTGGTTGATGCCAAGGCAAGAAGCATATGTAGGCGCACTGTGTGTTTGTTCTCGCTTTAGCAGTGATACCTGTGCTGTTGCACATTGGTCCTTTGGTCCCACGAAGCATCCAAAGAGTTGTGTTCTTTGGAAACTGGCAAATATAGATATTATGAGGAAGAGCTTTATTCGAGACGAGCTCGAGCTGGCACACACTGATGATGGTATCTACAGATAAGGAATTATACAAATAATGATGACACGTCGAATTGATTAAGAGGAGTCGACGACGCTCACACTAATTCCCCGTCATGCTGGAAGCGACCTCCTGGCCGCGCGAAAGACCAATATTAAGAATTGCTTTGGGCGCCGCCGTGGTGGTCTAGTGGCTAAGGAACTCGGCTGCTGACCCGCAGGTCGCGGGCTCAAATCTCGGCTGTGAGTGTACATTTTTAGCCGAGAAATGTGCACAATTTCTGTCCCACAGCAACGGTGGTCGGAGGGAGCGTTAAGTGGTGAGATACGGTAATTAACGGGGGACGTTTGTTCAATCACCGTATAAGGCCCTATAAAACGACTGAGGAATTTTTCCCATAAGCCGGGCACACGCACGGGAGTCCACAGAAGAACTTCGTCT